GTTTAATTAACTTGGCTAAGGGTAGGTCCTAGCGATTTTTTCACCAAAATAGACCCCCCTGAAGTCGCCCACTACGAACTCAGTGGTGCTATCCACAAGGTTGTGCGACGAACCGTTTAGGCTGTAGGGCATATGTGCCGGAAAAATCCAAGATGGCGGAGGACGTTTTTTGGCTGTTCTCATTTTCTCTCTATTTATTTCATATCTGAGTGAAGTTTTGGGGTGGGGATTTCGCCGGATTGATCGATGGACACTCCCAATGCATATTCAGTACTTCTGCGCCTTGTCGGCGTCGGTGGCAGAAAGTAGCACCCTCCAAATTAACATGTGTGTTTAAATATCGCGCCATACCGGGCGCCATCCCTCGGCATGGCGCGATATTTAAACACATGTCATCTGGGATGCTGCTTATGCTATACCAACACCAACAAGACGTACACTACAGCACTGGATATGGACTAGGGGTGTCCAGCGATCACACATATGCCACATATGATTACACATATGCCCTGCAGCCTAAACGGTTCGTCGCACAACCTTGTGGATAGCACCTCTGAGTTCGTAGTGGGCGACTTCAGGGGGGTCTATTTAAGGGAAAAAATCGCTAGGACCTACCTTTAACCAAGTTTATTAAATAGCGCCCCCCCCCCTCTCCTCCATCTTTCTCCGCCCTCTCTCCTTTCTCCTCCAGAAGGCTGGCGGTAGCCGTCTTCACCTGCCATGCAGAATTCTGTGAGCCAGTGCGCTTTTGTCAATCATGCCTGCCGATGTGGCAACAATGTGCGTTCGGTTCGGGTGACCGAAATAACGTTATTGATAACCGTTATTTTGGTTACAATAATTAACGGTATTGTCTTGCTGAACATAAATTCGTTATCAGCAAAAATGTTATCAAGAATAAACAATAAAATCGAAATAAAATTTGCGTTATGCAGGAATAACGGTTATTACTTCATTTTCGTTAATCGTTAAGTGCTGTAACTTTAACAAATAACATATCGGTTTTTTAAATGTTATGTTAATGTTATCACACCCTGCAGCCAGGACGGCCGTCGGCTCCGCCGACCCCCGACGGCGCGCTTTCATCGGTTCGGGAAAGCGTAGTTTTGATCGCAGAACTACGCGGAAAAGACCATGACATGGGGAAAACACTCAGGAATCCGATGGGCTCCTCGTCGTTCTCGCAAGATGAACATTTTACGAGCCATTTGGTTTCCCGGTTAGAAAAGCGGGTATGTGGCGCTGTAAAGCTTCTTCTCCAGGGCGCCCTTCTCTCATGGCGGAGCGTTGTTGAGGCGGGGGCGGCAGGCCATCAGTGCCTGGCAGTCGTTGGGGTGGCAG